TTTAAAAACTAAATAGATTAAATGTGAATCATTAAAATTAGAAATGTTTAGTACACTTATATTAAAATATAAGTAAAATTATAATTAAGTCAAAATATAAAGTCCTTATCAAAATGCAAAGATACAAATTAAGTGCAATGCATGACGGCCAGCCACCTGCAAGATCCCTTTAATTATTAGGCTTTTTTATGTGCAATGCATGTGCCAGAGCCCAATAATAATCATTTTTAAATATAACGATACTTAAAATAGTTTTACTACAACTAATTTTAAGAATATAAAAATAATAATTTTTTACTAAAAATAGTTATTGTATAATACAAAATTATTATTTTTATATGATTAAACTCAAATTGCATGATATACAAAAGGAGGGAATAAAAAATTTAATTTGGCAAAGTCGGTCGTCTAGCAAAGGACAAATTAGTGGTTTTTCAAGTGCTCTGTCTTTTGGTAGCTTGGTCCAAGACACCTTGGTAGGTTTCTTTGGTTCACAACAAGAACACTAACTTATTAACCCAAATCATCTTAGCATTACTTGTCTCCCTTCGTCTTGCAGATTGCATATTATTTGAAAAATAAATTCTAGTTTTTATATTATTTACTTTTGACCAAAATGTTTTAAAAAAGTTGAAATAATTTATATATATATATATATATATATATATATATAGAAAAAGAATATTCTCACACTAGTATAAATTATTACAACCATTTTAAAAAATTTTTGTAACATGTTACTCAATTAAAACATATAAAATTTTCACACTTTAAAAGAAATCAAGACTTAATTCGGAGTAAATAGCTAAGATTCTACAACTGTTTATCTTTAATCTTTTGTTAAAATTCATTAGTTATTACAATTTTACCACAACTTATCTTTTAAGGAGATAAATTCATGTGTAAGTTCAGGTTTTGAACTACACTTCTAGTCAATGCATCTATTACTATATTGACATTAGGATGATACTGAAGTTGAAACTCATAATCATTGAGAAATTTCATCTAACGCTTTTGTTTCATATTCAACTCCCTTTATTCAAACAAGTATTTTAAGCTTTTATGACCACTAAACACATCAAATTGTGCCCATAAAGATAGTACTTCCAAATCTTCAGGATAAAGACTATTGCAGAGGTCATGAGTAGGATAGTTCCATTCATGTGTTTTCAACTGACGCGATGTGTAAGCTACTATTTTCCAATCTTGCATTAAGATACATCCTAAGCCTTGATGTGAAACGTCGCAAAACACTTCAAAAGATCTGCTAGTGTCAAGGAGAACTAATATTGGAAAGGTCGTCAGCCTCTACTTCAACTTAATGAAACTTCGCTCACATTCCTCTGTCTATAAATGCTCATTGTTAATTGTGTTTTATTTTCATTATCATGTATATAATTTCCAACACACATCCTTTTTTTTTCATCCTATATGAGATAATTTGTCAATGCTATATAGCAAACATTACAAAGACTGATTGAGCAAAGTTTTTTAGGTATTTGTTAGCTCCACCTTTGGGATAAGAGTGATGAGAATCTCATTGATTTCTACCATCTGAATAGGTCCGCAAAAATGTCTTTAATAAGCTTGGGGAATGATGAATCTATCATCTTCCATTGACTTATATAAAACATAGATTGAAGACCATTTGTCCGGTGGCCTTAAAGCAACCTATAGCAAATATGGCTTGCCTTATCTCACCATTGGTTATTTGTTTTGGAGAATATATCTTCATGGAAGGAAGTCACCATTGCCACCAACTAAGGATTAGGATCATTTGTCATTTGTCTAGCTTTCATAAAGGGGGAGCCTCTCCGTCAAGTGAAGGGAAAGTTTGTAAGTGGAGCATCATCAAGGGAATAATCATTCAAGAAAGACTTAAAATCGTTAGAACCTCTGGTCTGGTTGTTTGCACTGCTACGTTCCTTTCTTCCCCAAACCATGGAGGATGGAGTTTAAATCTCCACTCCAATTAAGCACCAAGGTCCAAAAGTATCGTTTTCAATTCTCCTTACAAGTACCATACCTGTCTATCATCATTCACGGTTGTTGTTGCTTCCAACGAACTATCATGAAAATCGATTGGTTTGAAAATTCAACTGCATCCATATGTGACTCCTCGTTCAAAAGACATCAAATTCGGCATCAATGTCTTGAATAATTTATTAGATAGCTGTCATTAAAACCCATTTTCTTATTCATTTTTTCCACTTTATCTCCTCCACCACCAACATGGGTCTCGACAAGAACTACCAAGAAAATCTCATTTATCCTATATAAATTAAAATCTACTTAAACTAAAAGTGAGCAACTAAATTAGGTGAACTAAAATATGAGAATTAAAAAAGTATAATTAAACCTAAAATAAAACTATATATAAAAAAATGAAACTACACGTTACAAAGTGATGATCTCTTTAATTAAATGTGCTTTTTAATTACATGAAATTTTATACCTAGAATGACAGATTTTTCTTTTACAAGATTGCAAGGTCCTAAGACAAATTAAACATTTAACGTACAATGTGAAAAAAAAAACTCCCTAGTTAAAGTAAATTTTGCAACTTTAGGATATGGTTAGAAGTTTGAGTTTTGAAGAAAAAGAGAAGAAAGGACCAATAAAAAGTTATAAAATATTTGATTATACATTCTATCATTTAATTGTCAAACTTTGGAGGAGGTCAATCAAACTGGTACAAAATTAGTCATAAAGAAGAAGGATAGAGTATTTATTTTAATCTCCTAAATTATAAGAATCAATTATTTTAATTCTTAAATTTATAAAAATTTTACTTTATATCTTTTTTATACAAAAGTATAATAAAAAATGAAAAAAAGACTAAATGAGTGATTTTAAAAAATCAATTATGCGTGTAAAAGATTTTTATGTTCACATAACTCAATTTTTTATTACATGCAAATTAACATGCATGTAAAAGAGCAATCACACCCATTCTTAACCAAGTGAACTTGTGCGAACGCTATTATTCTAGTTGATACCTTTAAGATAAATAAAAATAAAATAAAATAAATATATCTTAATTAGCAAGCCTGTTAGAATTAATGGCTTCCCTCAGTGTATAATGCAAGAAAACACAAGCACCCGGGAACATGTTGATAAGTTATCCTGCCATTTGGACAGCATAATTTAATGGCAAATAATCAGATATCATTGGGTGGGCCCACAAATTTATAGCTAAATATTTTTGGTTGTATGAATTGTACAATAGATAGTATTTTATTATATTATTTTGGACAGTATTTGTATTCAAAGAAAATATGTAGTGTTAATGGGACAGCTCCATGCAACCTATCATGTGCCCCACCTCTCACAGAATTGAGGAATAATCCTCCGCGTGTCACCTTTAGTATCTCGTTTTCACTCCCTCTCCCGCTAAATGTTGTAATGTCATGGTCACTCTCTGTCCTTTCCATTTTAAATTACCGATAAATATCCTTTACTGGAAACGCCTTTTAACTTTAAAAACTTTAAATTATAAATTCTTTTATAAATTTAATATATTTAACTTTAATTATTGAAATTTAGTATATAAAAAGTCATTAAACCAAGACTAAGTGAATTTCTTTCCATTAATTATATAGAAATTTTAATAATATATATGATAAAAATATTTATATTATTGTAAAATTCTTATAATTAATTTAAAATTCAATTTTAAAATTAAGGATGATGCTTATTTTAAGAAAAATCATAAATTAACTAATTATTTAAAAATCAAATTAATATAATTTATATAAACAATTGAGATGAACAAAATTAATGTAAAAACTTCAAAGCTAACTAATTGAAAATTTTACAACAATGTAAAAATATTTTTATTAGTGAAATTATATATAATAAAATATAATTTTACTGCTAAGAATGAAACTTTTATTTTATTATATTAGAATGAATTACCCATATGTTTATATACATACCATTTTATATTTATATAATTTATGTATTTTGATTATCATCCATTTCACTTAAAATTTCGTATCGCTATTCTAATTCTTTTGTGTATCAGCAGTGGAAATGTTTATGTTAGAAGTCATAGGGTCAATTTGGCTTGATTAAGCCCATTCGGGTTAACCTAACGTGAAAATAAGCAAATGTAGACATATGTACTGTATTTATGGATGTGTGAAAGGATACAATTATATTTATTTTAATATATTTTCAGTCAAATATATGAAGAAATTATTATGTAATAAAATTCAATAAACAAATGTTTAATTACTTTTTTTTTTCAAAACATGCTTTAATTCAATTTAGTAAATCATTACTTCATTAGTAGAGTTGAAATCATATGCAAACTGCAAGTTATTTAAGCTGACTTTCATTTTATTTAAAATAATTTATATTAAAAATTTAAAATTAATTATTACTTAAAATTAATAAATATATATTGTAAAATACATTCGAATTTAATAAACTTAAAAACTTTAATATTTATTATACTGAATGGTGATAATTTTAAATTTACAAGTTAGCACAGGTCAACCTAAGCCAGACTAATCAGGACCAAGCCAGATTTAAGATTAGTTAAAAATTATAAAAATAAGTGTATTTTAACTTTGGTAACAAAATATTTTTATATAGATTTCTTAACTAATGCTTTTAAAACACTTGTTAACATCAACTAAATCATTATATAATTTTATTTTAGCTCTATTTTGTGCAATATACAAAGGTAAGTGTAAGAATAACGTTATGTTAAGTCGGTAACAAATTTACATTACATTTATTTTATTTATTTATATATTATTATTACATCATCCATCTTATTTCATATTTTTTATTTTAAAATTATAAAAATATTATATAAAGTTATTGTATATATAACATTACTATAAATGCAACAAGAGCCTTGTTAGATACACGAAAAGAACCTTAAATATCTACATTTACTGTCCTTCATTTTCTTTTCCTTCTCTCTCTTTTTCCCTTTATCATCAGCGGCTCCAATTCACCATATGTCACTTTTGTCTTACAAAATATTCATGAAAGTATCTTTTTCAATTAAATACAAATGGTGGCTCACTTCTAGACATATAAAGAATAGAAGAATATAAGATGAGGTGATTTTCTAGGAGGAGGAAGGTGAGCAACTAAGCTATGTTCTGAGAAGACTACTTTGGGTCTCTTTTCATTTATTTGTTTCTTTGAACTTTTCCTATGCTTGCGCATGCCTCTTTATATTAAATTAAATTGGGACCTCATTATTTTTAAAAAAATATATATATTCTTGTTAGTTTAAGTTGTTTGTGTGTTTACTTATTGGGGTCCTCTCTGTCTTGAACTCCTTTAGAGGTTGGTGTTACTTTTGGAAGGGTTGACATGGAGGAACGATATGAGTCATTGAAGGACCTTGGTTCTGGGAATTTTGGAGTGGCCAAGTTGGCTAAAGATAAGAAAACTGGAGAGCTTGTTGCGGTTAAATACATAGAGAGAGGGAAAAAGGTACATCTTTTTTGCCTATTTGTTTCAGTGGCTATGAAATTTAATTCACCATTGACTAATGCTATTTTTGGTTCAGGTATTTCTGTGCATTGATTGTTCTGCTTTTGAGCAATCTGAATTTGAAAGCTGAGAAAATATTGTCTTCTTCTGCATATTTATGATAAGATATGATATCTGGGCCATGATTTGTGTTATTTCAGAATCTTAATTGTTCAATGTTTCATGATGTTGATATGAATTCAAGGTACAATATCCATTATCCAATGATTGGAATTTTGGAAACTGTTATCCTGAGGAGCTGTTTTGTTCTGGTTATAATTTCTTTTTTGTTTTCCTTCCTCCTAATATTTCTCAGTTAGTCAACTCTCTAAATGTGTATTCCGTTAACTTGTAATCTCCATAAAAATATTCAGTTTCATCTCAAAGTTCGGTCCGGTTTTACTCGAGAAAATTCTAGTATCATTGTGCTGCAACAATTCGTGTCTTCAATGGACACTTTGTATTCCCTGCAAGCAGCAAGAGCAACCATTGTTTGTTTCTTCTTTTTTATTTCAAGTAAAAGAAAAAGAAATTGAATGTTTATAGTTTCTATTATGTATTTTGCCACTCTTGTTGAAAATTTGACTGTCCTAGCGAATCTGGACAACATTTTGTATCTAAGCTTATGTATGGTAAATTTTAGTCTGTGATATTCATAAAGCATAACATTTTTTTTTATTTCTCTCTTTATGAATTATGGATATTTAGGGAAACAGATTTTCTTTTCAAACAATTATGTCCAAAATCTTTCTGATCTTTCTTTCTTCTGAGTGAGTTGTTTGTGGTATCAGATCGATGAAAATGTTCAGAGGGAGATAATTAATCACCGATCTTTAAGGCATCCAAATATAATCAGGTTTAAAGAGGTAAGAACTTGTTTTTCTTCGTCAAACTGCTCCTATGTTAGACTTGAAGCCAAATTGGGCACTAAGCATATGGTTATCTGCATTATTTTGTGCACGCAGCTCTCATGTTACACTCGGCTAGAAACTTGTCTCATAAAGAAATTTGATGGTGTAATTTGTAGCTCCCTTTGCAACAAGTTGTTGTTGTTAACATAATGTGCAAAAAATTGTGGCCTTCTGCATTATTACCAACAGAAATGAGGTCGTAATAATTTGTTGTGAGACAGTTGCTGTTCATATAATTCACAAAATTTTTATGACATACATTTTTACTTCAACAAATATTTTAAACTGAAATCATTGATAAAAAATATCTGAGAAATCACATGAACCAGTACCTTCAAGAGAAACTGACAATAAGTCAACAGCCATGCCTTATCCCATTTTAACTTTGATTTGTTCCTTTGGAAAGAAACAATAAACTCAATTAGTATAATTCCCTGCTTTTAATGCTGTAATTTGTTTATCTACCTTCTGTATGGGCTAGGATCAAATTTTACTCCATTTAGTCTAGCACGATCATGATTTGTTCTGTTCAGATTCAGAGCTTTCAGAAAATATATACAAGAAAATGCTGAATGAGATATCTTTGCTGCAGGTCTTGCTGACCCCTACTCATTTAGCTATCGTCTTGGAGTTTGCTTCAGGCGGTGAACTCTTTGAAAGGATATGTAATGCTGGTCGATTTAGTGAAGATGAGGTTGTAGAATCTATTGCATGGTTGAACTAATCTTTTTCATTTTAAACAATCTCGATACAGGAATAAGGTATTCATATTGAAATTTACCAATTGAATGAATTCCCTATATGGCAGGCAAGATTTTTCTTCCAGCAGCTAATATCTGGGGTTAGCTATTGTCATTCAATGGTATGCACTTAGAATTCATTATTGTGCTCTTCATTACAAGCTCGCGTCTTATATCATGGTATGCTTCTTACTTCAGGAAATTTGTCATCGAGATCTGAAATTGGAAAACACCCTCTTAGATGGAAATCCATCTCCTCGGCTTAAAATTTGTGACTTCGGTTATTCCAAGGTTAATAACATTTCACCTAAAAAAGCCTTTTTGGAGACATCATATTCCTTATGTAGTTGTATGACTTATATCCGGTGCTCTCATATATTTCGTATAGTTTTTGTTGACTTTCATGTTTAATATAATATTCAATTGCAGTCTGCTTTACTGCACTCTCAACCTAAATCAACAGTTGGAACTCCTGCATACATTGCTCCAGAGGTTCTATCGCGGAAGGAGTATGATGGAAAGGTATGGAGAGTTTCTCTGAGGGCCTTGAAAATCATGTCAAGCCACATTCTATGAAAATTGGCAACCATGGTTTGACAATTGAAACTCAGTCTCACATCCACTTAAGAGTTAATCATATGATCCCAAATGCTCAATTTCTTAAGAAAATTGGTTCTTTTGTAGATTGCAGATGTTTGGTCTTGTGGTGTGACTCTTTATGTCATGTTAGTTGGTGCATACCCATTTGAAGATCCAGAAGATCCTAGAAATTTCAGAAAGACTATTGGGGTGAGCTCTTATTGGACTTCTAAGTTATAATTAATCTTCAAAAGAAGGAAACTTACAACTCTGATTCTCTGCTTGGTAGAGAATAATTGGTGTTCAGTACTCCATACCCGACTATGTTCGTGTTTCTTCAGAGTGTAGGAACCTTCTCTCTCGTATTTTTGTTGCTGATCCTGCCAAGGTATGTATCTTTAATTCTATAAGGGCTTGTTTGGTAGACATGATAGAATAGGGAATGATAGGATATGAAAGTTGAATAATAATATGATAAGATAAGAATAGGATAAACTTTTATTTTATTTTACATTTGATGCATACTAAGATAGCAAATTAAATATAATATGTTTATTTCTACCACAGATCCCCTCATAAGATGGAAAAATGCTTGAATGGAAAAATATATCTTGTTTTTTTATCCTATTCACCAAACAGACCTTAAAAGCATGCATGTATGAACTATAGTTATACAACCTATAATATTATAATTACAAATGTTCATGGCCATGACACTCAGATAAACCCATAATTTACTTTAAATGGAAATGGTAAGGAATCGTTGGATTTGTTTAATAGCAACTAAAGTGGATTTAGTTCTTGTATAATGAGAATCTCCCCGTTTTTCAAACTAATTATCTGTGATCCTTGTTAAAGAGGATCACCATCCCAGAGATAAAACAGAATCCTTGGTTCTTGAAGAATTTGCCCAAAGAGATCATTGAAGCTGAGAGAAAAGGTTATGAGGAATCAAAGCAAGACCAACCAAGCCAGAGGGTGGAAGAAATCATGAGGATTATACAAGAGGCAAGGGTACCAGGACAACCATCCAAACCTGGTGATGGTGGGCAAGCTGGCATTGGGTCATTAGAGGTTGAGGATGATGAGGAAATTGATCTTAGTGGTGACTTTGAACATGTGTGATCGAGGCAATTAATTGGTTGATGGCTAGATTGTTCATAAGACGTGCATAGTCTGCATTATTAACATTTATCACCATGTGGTGTGCAGTGATGGTGTTCAAAAGATACGTATTATACCAGCTTTGAAATAGGTCTTTGTGGTTATTAAGTGAATAATACTTAAAAAAAAAAAAAAGGCTTGAAATGGTTTTTATTTTCAGTAAATCGATGGTTTGGGATGTAGTTTACGTCTTCATGAGTGGTTCAAATACTTTGGTTGTATTATTCTCGATTCTATTTATAAGAAATAAATATTTAATTTAATTAAACTAATAAAAAGTAGCTATATATTATAAATTTATATTCTATTTTAAAAGCATCAATAGTATTAATTGTTTTTTAATGTATTAAATAAATGACTGTGTTTACTTGTACAAGTAAAGTGGACATACCTTATTAACTCAAATCTCATAATAAATAAAAGTATAAAAATGCTCTAACAATTAATGCATTTAAAAATGAATCTTTGTTTATTATATTTTAGATAAAACAATATTTGTAATTATTTCTTATAAATTAGATTGGAATTTAAAAAGTATTTGATATTTCATGTAATATTTTACTGACATAATTTGTACATCATTTTAATAAATAAATTGATCCATAATTATGTTATTTTTACATTTCATCTTTATTTTGTTGCTTCTTGTAATATATATAAAGATAGAAAAAAAGGATTTTACTCCTTTTTATAGAAAAAGTGTCCATAAAAATATAAAGTAAAAGTGTAAAAATATATTTTTTTTTGTCCATTCCCAATACAAGGATATCTATCATGAAATGAGACATACAAATATTAATATTTTTAAAATTACACCAATAAACACCCTAATTCATAATTTACTGCTTGAATTGTGGTTAGATTGAGATGAAAAATAATAATTAAATATACATTAATAGTATATGATATACTAGACTTTTTTGTTAAAATATGATAAATTTAAAAATAAATTACTAAAATAAGATTTTTAAAAAATATTTTTCTGATCTAAGATAATTTTTGTTATATCATATTGAGTGTTATTCTTTATATAGTCGATATTTATTTTTTAATAATAAAATATTAAGTATTGATAATATAAAAATTAACACTTATTTTTTTAATAAAAAAAAAAGTATCGTCCGCATATAAGTTAATATTTTTTTTATTATTAAAAAAATAATGTTATGAATTGAACTGCAGAGGGATGCATTATTTCTATTCTTTGATTAACTAGAGAAAAAAATGTTTCGTAAGGATATTAATACTGAAGGAGTAAGTGATTGCAGCGTTCATGAATGAATGATCTATAAAATTATTGAGATATTAAACAGCCTAAGAAAGGACCATTCAAAATCTGTTATATTTTATTTTTATATTGGCGTTAAAAATATGTCAAAGCAAGTGAATAGGATTTTGCAGCTGTATCTTATTGGCTGTTTGGTTGTAATTAATTCTCTAAATTCTTGCTTCTTTGAATTAGAGGATGTGAAGGATCTTGATTTCTTTGAGGATCTTTTACTCGAGGATACAAAATTCTTGAAAAAGATATACGTGGTGTATCTAAGTGACTGAAAAAACACTTTTTAAGTCCATTAATCAGTCATTTGATTCATAACAATATTTTTTAATATTAAAAATAAGTGTTGGCCATATAAGGAGCGACACTTAACATGACATAGTAAAAATTATCTTAGATCAAAAAAATATTTTGTAAAACTTTTATTTTAGTAATTTATTTTTAAATTTATCATATTTTAGCAACAAAAAAAAGCTAATATATTACCCAACAAATTAATTAACATAAAAGATAATATTATATGATTTACAAGATAAAAAGTTACAATAAAAAATTAAATAGTAATAATCAGTATATTCATCTTAAATACGATTCAATAAAAAAATTAATGCAAAAAATAAATTAGCTTTTTAAAAATTGGTTTAAATTGATTTTTTTAGTAATGGTTCATGCTTAATTTTGACCAATTCTTAATTGATTTTTTTTATTCTTAACTGATTTTTTATGTTATCAATTTCTTAAATTGTTTGAAGCAATGTCTTCATTACTACAAAATCTGCATATATAGCTGAATTTACAGATGAATTTTTAAATCATTAAAGACGATTTTTAAAATTATAGATAGACAGAAATCGTCTATAATATCTTCGCCAGTAAAAAATTACAGACGGATTGTAGCACACTCAGAATATGAGACCAGATATTGCAGATATGCAAGATCCGAAGCGGTGGCTGCTACAAGAATGGAATATTCTAAAGAATCTGCATCTGTTGAAGTAATGTCTGAAATAAGAATGTCATATGTAGTAGCTCTATCAGTCTCAGCCAACACGTAAAGCCAGTTAATGATTCATGGAGAATGGAATATAGGGAGTTAACAAAGAAAGTTAGAATAGGCCCCGAGAAAGAGGATTTAAGGAAGCATTTTCCTGATCAATCAAGGTGACTTCCTAATTTGTCTATGCGCGGGTGGAATTCAGTTTCAATTGTAGTTGCTTTTGCCCTTGCTTGAACTAGCTAACTTTATCCTCCAATGGATAAAATCTCAATATCTTCACAAGTAAAAAATTACAAACAGATTTCACAATTCATCTGTAACTTACAGATGGAAAAATCCGTCTTTAACTTACAAACAGAAAAATTCATTTGTAATATACAAATAGAAAAATTCATCTTTAACTTACAAATGAAAAATTTTGTCTGTAAGTCACAGATCCGTCTATGATATATTTTATTATTTTTATTATTTTCTATTTATATACATAGTTATTCCTGCTTGTTCTTAATTATCACAATTTATAAACATAATAAAAATTACAAAATTAAATCTAAAAATTCAAAAATAATTTATAAAATGTAAAATTTAAATGTCATTACAAATGAAGACAAAAACATATAAATAAATAATGTTAAAAATAAAATACAAATATTCATCACGAATAATCTGTATGATCATTATCCGAAGGAGCATCGTCATCAGTAGACGAGGAGTTAGAAGAGGAATGATGCATGGAACTAAAAACTGGTGGTGCTGGAACAACATATGCATGCATTTGTTGCATTTTCATATGTTGTTGCTCTATCTGCTGGTGGACCTCCCTTTGCATCCTCGATGTCACCTTCTTCTCTATCTTCTTCTCCATTTTTTTTGCTCACTTCTCCTCATTTTGCTTCTCGAGTTCTTCATTGAGGGCATGAACTTGAGTGCAGACCATATCCTCCACTTCCTCAGGTGCAAGAGAAGGGGCATCTCCAGTGACAGATGCAGGGGACATGGAGTCTGCAAAACAGCTCCCATGCCATAAATGTGACCTTTATAAAAGTCACCCAGTGTCTGTGACCATATAGCATCCTCATCAACTAATTGTGAATCTTGAGAAGATGCCCGTCAAGCCTTTGAATATAATCATCCTACAGTTTAGTTCAGATAATTAGATATTAGTCTAGAAAACTATTTAATAAATCACTAATAATAACATATAGTATCAATAAGAATAACTTATATATATGGCTTGAGATCGTGTATCAACCCACAGGTTTTTGTCTCCCCTGTGAGTGTGTGTCTCCTTGAACAATTCTCCATGTGATGAGTCACTAACTCATCTAGAAAATTAAACGATTTTAGGCATATTTCATTGAATTTAAATTATAAGTTAATGCAATTAATTGAGAAATTCAATGGAATGTTGTATTTGCTAGAAAATCCATGAATCACTCATATTTTAATGGCTGACAATTTTATTTTGAAGGGATTAGAAAGAAATTCTGCAATTGGACTTAAAGAGCAAAAGATGAGTGTTGTAAGACTGATTTGTGGGGACACGATGTTGACTGATGCATATAAAAGCGAAAAAATTCTAAAAAGGCGGCATCTTTTATCTTTCCTTTTTTAGAACATTCTGGAGCACGGTTTTCTAGGTTTTCATACAGTTTTACATATAATAGGGTAACAAAGGCAATTTTCTTACATCTTGGTAGAAGGATTCTCATGGGAACTTGGATTTCTTTTCCATCTTCTTTGATTTTTGTAATAGAACAGTAACTCTTTCATTTTTCATTTGATGTAAGTTTATCTGCTGAACATGACTCTTATCTTTTCAATATATTTTAGTTTGTTTCTTTTCATTTTCATTATGTCTTGTTAAATCTCTTGGGGTTGAGTAAAGATGAACTTATACCTTTACCCATTGCAATAAACTAAGCATTGTATGTGACTCAAGATGGAAGCTTTAATCTAACTTTTTAATTCTGAACTTAATGTCTCGCTGTTCTACGTGAATGAGGTTGATGAAAAGGAGTTCATTGCTCGAAAGTTGTAGACTTTCTTGGACTGTGGTTAAAATGCTTATTATGAATTGTCTATGAATAGAAATTTATGATAATGTGGTCATATGGGTTTTATCCTTAATGCTAAACGTTTTTGGTTTACCTAAGGAAATAGGAGATTAAAAGTCATTTTAGAACCAATTACCAAGGGATTGGAGTTGGATAATTTAGACAACTTGACCATTAGATTGGCTATATTTTGAGTTACAAGTATATTTTAAGCAAGGGGAAAGGGATAAGGGATTCTAAACTCAACCCATTTATTAATCTTTGCAAAAACTCATTTTCTCTACTTGAGTTATTTACATTCTGCAGTCCTGTTAATTATTTTCTATATTAAGTTTTACTTTTGTCCATTTATTAATTGTAATTCTAGCACCTTTACTTTCAGTTTTACAATTCTGCTGTGTTTAATTTTGTACTATTATATATACCCTATTTTTGGTGTCCTAACTAGTAATATTCTTGTGATTTGATACTTAACACTTATCCCTGTGGATGATAATCTTTGTAACCTCAACAATTTGGTGCACTTGCCAAAATTTTTTATCAAGTTTCTGACACCGTTGCTAGGGATAATGATTGTTAATATCAACGGTAGTGAGAATATGTTAGATTGGGTTAATAACGTTTGCTGTGTTTTAGGTTTGTGACAGGAACTTAAGTACAGCAGCTGTAAAAGTTGATGCGAGGCAAGGAGAAAATCAAAATTAGTGACTCATCTCTTGACCTTGACCAACCAATTATTAATTTTAAGAAAAAGAACAAAAAGAAAGGACAAACTTCAGAAAAAGAAAAAGAAGAAGATCCACAAGAACAAAATTCTGCAGAAATGGCAGGA